ATTTAGCAGTGATAGACTAGAGGGAAGGCAGCTAGTCATCACCACCCACCACCAACTCTTGGGGCTACTCTTTTACCAACGAATAGCAGGATTGACCGTCACATTATAACCCCCCCCCCCCACCCACCCACGGCTAAAAGGGCGAGCATGTTTGGTGTGACGGGGATTCGAACCCTCAGATTGCGAGTCGAGCGTCCTAACCACTTGGCCATCCCGGGCCACGGATTGGTCTATAAGGCGGAATGTTTGACTAAAGGTGTACAGACGTGAAATTAAAGAGCTAAAGACGCGTCCCTGGTGGCACAGCGCCAAGTTGTCCGAGTTACAACGCTAAAATCAGGGGTTCGATTTTCCTCAATGGACACAGCAGATAGCCCGATGTGGCTTTGCTATAAGAAAACACACACACACAGTGAACACGCCGAGAAATTCGAAACAGATATATGTATATTTAATTCTGTGCCTAGCAATTACAAACGCATTTGGAACACAGATCCAAACTAATTCCATTCTGTACATTTTAATTAATTTATTATAATCTGGAAAGTAAACCTCCAAATGACGTTGACAGCGTACAGTGTTTTGTTGACAGTGTACAGTGTAAAAAGCAGCAACTTCATGCACACAGTGTTACATCCCGCTAGGTGTGTTTATGTTCTTTGAAGGAATGCACAAGGAGGGATTTCGCTCGCTACGGTGAAACATGAGCAGAAAATCCACGATACCTTTTGTTTCAGTTGAAGGGGGGAAGACATGACAAGGGTGTCACATAACAAAGGAAAGACCTACCCGTAGACCCCCAGCTGTTGCTTCTTCACGAAGTTGTTACAAAACTATGAACGGTCCAGATGGAAGACAACGTTTTAACATCCAGCTATAGGCTGAGGATAAAAACAGTGGGCTGGAAAATGTGTAAACTATCCCCGGCAAGAAGCTCGCTTCTCGGAACTTCCACGACAAGCGTGCAGTGAATTTGTCCTGCCGCCTAAAAGCTCCCGTGTTGCGGGTATTTATCACGCATTTCGACAGTGTGTGGTCAGGGCTGGACTGTTTCACTCTTACGCCCAGCTTCTGCTGGTCTGTCAGCGGTCGTGCGTTACCCAGATAGGTTGTGATCAGTGGAGGCGGAGCTTTAGTGTAAGGTGCAGGCGCTTGTACCCTTCCTCTCCCTCCCCCTGTTAAGATTCCGGGATGCGCTTGGATCTAAAAGCTGTCGTCTCCGATCTTGGGATGAACATGTACAACCCGTTAACTCCAAGACCGTGTCTCTTCACCATCAATTCATTGATGACGGAAGTCACATCGGAGTCTTTCCTTACAGCCACGGACCAGCAGCCAGCTCTGCCGCCAATGGATTGTACACCAGGCATCTCCTCCCGCACTTCTACGGGCGACTGTTGCTACGACTGGCTCACCTTACAGTCTTCCCTTGCCAACTACAGCTCTGTCTCTCCGGTCAAAGATATGGAAGGTAAGAAGAACCGACTTTCATCTGATTTCATCGGGAATTCTTAATATTTTACGAAGAGACTGAATTATACATCATTACCATTAAGGATAGTCCTTCTGAGTGAAATCATAAATATGGGTCGTATTTATGCATGTTTTTGATTTGGTTCTTACAGTATAAGTGTGAGGAAAACAACCTCTGTAATGTTATATTATAAATAAAACTTTGTAATATGAGGTTGTGTTGTTGTTGTTTTCGTAAAAACAAACAACAACGGTATGAATAAAAAGAGTCCACATGAACTGTACACGGACGATAAGAATAAATTGTGTACGGCTTTGTGGATTAAATACCAGGTGTCGTCGAAATCTAAGATGAAAGAGTAGTACGGCTTCTATGTTTATACATGTACCGAATTCGAACAATTTACAAGTCAGTTTCTTAGTTGTTGTTGTTGTTCTTTAAGAATTGATAGCGTCCATGCTGATTATTTATAAAGTATTTGTTTTGGACTAATTTTTAAACTATTCACTCCTCTGGATGAAGTTGAAACTAAAACTAGGTGGCGCAAAAAGCGAGTGAAGTCCACATCAAACATATACATACTTTACAACAATGTATCGATAATAACAATAAGTTTTAGAATACG